CGGAGGGTAGGGGAGGCCAGGGGAAGGTCAATGGGGGGGAAAAAAAAGGAGACATATGTACTACTATCTGTAATACTTTAAACAATAAAATTAAATTAAAAAAATAAAAAGAAGCATGCTTAAAAACCTGCAAAATGAAAGATGAGGATTCTAAGATTACATTTTAAATAAAAATTCTGAAAATAAAACAGTAATTAAGATATTACTAAGTTTTTTTTATTATTATTAATGTGGTATGATTTACATACAATGCACTGGTTTTAAGCATTCAGTTTAGTGAATTTTGACAATGTTATACACCCATGATCACTGTTCAAAACAAGGTTTAGAACATTTCCATCATCCCAAAAAGCTCCCAAAAATGATTCCCAGTCATTTCCTCCTCCACCTCCCCTGGTGACCACTGTTCTATCAGCAAGGATTAGCTTTACCTTTTCTGGAACTTCATATGGATTTAATCAACCCATATGAACACTTTTGTGTCTGGCATTTCTCACTCAACATCACCTTTTTTTTTTTGAGTGTCTTGCATGTTGTTGCGTCACACCAGAAGTTTATTTCTTTGTATTTTGGTATGTAGACACTATAATGTGTCCATCATCCTGTGGGTGGATATTTGGGTTATTTCTTGTTTTCTACTGCTATGACTGAGGCTGCTATAAACATTTTCCTACAATTATTTAAATTCTCATTTTTTTCATGCCAACGCTTTGAGAACAGGAGTTCTTTGCACAGTAACTCATGCGAACAGTTTCCCGATCCTTTACTTTGCTTCCATTTTCTGTCATTGTTATCAATATTCAGGAGTTGCAAATGTTGGATTTTCCCCAGTGACTGATAAGTTGTAGGTACAGTATTGAGAAAGACAAAGTAAGAAAGCAGGTTCCCTGCACCAACTTCCACTTCCTGAGGCAAGCCCAGTTAAATGCAAGTGTGCATGTTTTTGCATTCTCCGTCCTGAAGTCGCTCCTGATTGTCACTACAAATTCATTCAGGAATTCATTATCTGTATATTCAACAAAAATTCATGAGACTCCTATCATATGTTTGTTAGGCTTGTGCTGGGCTCGGCCTACAGAAGGACGGGGTTCCTTCTAGATCAGAAACCAGGGGATGTTTGCTGGGCCAACACGATGCCTAGCACAGAGGGGAAACGACATGGGCATTTTTGAATTCATGGAGGAACTCTTGGTTTAGTGTGGAGATGGACCTGAACACAAATAAACTGGTATGGGAGAAGTATGGATCAAGTACTGTGGGAACATCAAAACTATAAATACATGTTCTGTTTCTACCTAGAGCCCATTTGAGTATGTTGCTGTCGTGATATTTTCTCTGTTGGACTGTAGTTTATCTAATTATTGCCTCCCCCCCCCCCCATTTCAGGGGTGCAATAGAGTCGGTTTCCTTCTTGTCTTGGTATGTGTAGCACTCAGGGGATGGCCTGGGACTCAAAAGGGAGTGACTAACGCTGTCTAGGTTTGCCCCCCCCCCCCCCCAAAAAAAGAGAGAAAAATATGCAGGAAAGGGCCATTTGAGATGGGTCTTGAAGAGAACAGGTGGGGGTGGTAGTGTGGGATGGTTTTCCAAATAATAAACAGTTTGACTTAAGAAGGTCCTTTGGGTACTAAGTGTTTTAAAAAATGTTCCTATTTAGTATTCCTGAATCACCATCATGATTTTTTTCTTTATTAATTAAGGTATTACATATGTGTCCTTATCCCCCCATTGCCTCCCTGCCCCCCCCCCCCCCATCATGCCCTCACCCCCTTGATGC